ATTGAACGATACATCATGAAGTCAATAGTTGTACATCTAGGAAATTTACCAATGGAGCTCTCTTCCACTGGTGTATATATTTTAATTTGTCTCATGTGGGTGTCTCTTCCATTTTGGTGATTGGCTAGAACAGCAATCTGTATCATGAATGTGCGAGTTGGCTTCTTATGATTATCAGTTAAGGGAACATGAATCCAGCCACTTGGTTCCACCAATTCAAGTTGCCGAATTTCTTGAAGGTTGTGAAAATTATTTCCTACTCTGACTGAGATCTTGCTCGGTGTATAGCTTTCATCAGATTTGTAGTCAGCATAAATACATAATGTCTTCACTGTTGTTTTTCTCCTGAATTGGATGTTTACTAAATGAGGCTGGGAGCCATCTGATTGCCAGTAAGTTTCCAGATTGTCATCTCGTAATTGATCCACTCCAAATCCTGGTTTACAAGATGAGAGGGACCAAACAGCTTGTGACCCTATTTCCCGTACTGTTCCAGTCCTTTCCAACTGCTTAGGGTCAGCACCAGGAGGTGTCTTGTTTGGTGTAGTCATTTTTTAAATATTAGCTTGCAGACCCGGCTCGCCAAAACTGAGGTTCTTGAGATCCACTGCAGCTCGGCGCCACTCCCACTCAACTTCTCGGGACAGCCTGGCTCCACTGATGAATTTTATCAAACATTTATAGCACTAACATCATGTAACTCTGGGAGAGAAAATCCTGGAGCAAAATACTTTTGAAAACAAAAGTAGTCACAGGAAGAAATAAAGTGGGAGAAACCCATTTACTTCTTACAAGCAATACACTTCTGTTCTCCAGTATCTCTCACAACCTGGCTGTAGAAGAAGAGGCCCACAACCAACCTCTCTAGTCCAGATAAGGCTCCCCCTTGTAATTACCTATTGATATGGAGATGGACTACAGCTCTCCACCCCTTGGAAACACCTGTTGATATGGAGATGAGCTAATGCCAGGTATTAAATCTTGATGGGGCTTAGCAAAAGTAACTTCATTTGGGTCCCATTGTTTCTTTTTAACACTGCAAATAATTATTATCTACTATGTGCAGATACACATACTATCTGTACTAGGATGCAGCAGCAGACAGAAGAGTTCCTTGTCTTTGCAGGATTACAGTCTTGTGAAGAATGTGGTCAATAGCAAGAAAAAAAATAAAATGAACTGAAAGAAAGAAATTCGGCACATAGAAATAGAAACAAGGTGAAGGGCCCCCACCAGTAAGATGGCGAACTTCTAGCTTCTCTTCAGGGTCCTCGGTTCCCACCGGTGCCACCTGAAGCCCAATCACCTCTCACCCCCCTCCCAATCCCAGCACCTAGCCAATAGCCACCAGCCCCATAGAAGTAACACCACAATCACCCCATGCCCCTTCCTATATAACCCAGCACCTTTCCTTAATAAAGCGGATTTCTCTGGTGAATTGCTGCTGTGTGTCGCTCCTTTCCTTTCACAAGGTATAGTCTAGGCAGAGTCAACAATTACAAAGTTTCTGAGATAGAAGGGGGCTTGAATTCCCTAAGCAGCAGGACAAGGAAGGAGAGAAAAGTAATTGGTAGCCAAAAATACAGTGAACTTTCCATTATATCCATAAAGTAACATTACCAATCTGTTAAATAACTGAAGGTAAATTAATTAGGCTCAAAATGATTTTACTTTAACATTTTTAACTTTCTTTTTAGAAGTTTTCACCTTTTTTAGATGTATAAAATAAAGACATTATAACTCCAGGGGAAACTACAGGGCAATATACCTTTGAAATTGAAATCAAAGGGAGAAATAAGGTTGGATAAACCCATTTATTTATTACAAGCAGTTGTCCCACATCTCTTGACCTGGCTGCAGCAGAAGAGGGCTTGACCCAACCTCTCCACCCCAGATAAGACTTGTAATTACCTATTGAAATGAAGATGGACTACTTTTCTCTACGCATTGGAAGCACCTGTTGATATGGAGATGCATTAAAGCCAGGTGAGAGAGAGTAAATATTGCAAAATAACCCACAGCCCAGCCCTCCAGAAATCTCACCTTACAATCTACTCCTTCCCCATCTTCCACAATGGCACCTGGGTGAGAAAACTGGAGCATTGAAACTAGACTAATTAATATACAGTACCAACAGCAATAAAATCAGGATAATCCTCATGCCAGAAAATTAAAGTAGGTTCAAAGTCCTATGCAGATTAAGTCCAGAGCTTGTCCATTCCACAGGCAGTCTGTAGCTGAACAAGTAGGGAGTTAAGAGCAAGCATCACATGGCAGCTGCAGCCATGGGGCACATCCAGGTCACAGGGACTGTAGAAGAAAATAACCTTAAGGGCAGTAAGATACTTGTTTTATTGAAACTAGCATAGGAAATCTTGTCCATCAGGTAGGATGCATAGAGGAGAGTGGTCCTGTGATAGGACAGTGGCAGGAATGGGATCTTGTCCTGGTCTAGTATACCAGACTTTCACCCCCTCCCTGTGGGAGTTACAGAATGGTCAATATATAGGGCTATGGTACGTACAGGCACTGGCCCTAAAGATAAAACAAAACTTTCCTCTAAAAACCTCTTACCTCTCATAATTTTGAGAACACTCTTCTGTTACTCTAGGAATACACAGGAGGCCAGCTTCCATGGCACTCCCCAAGGTGCCAGAAGGGCCAGCCATCACTGGTCCATGTGTTAAAACATCCAGGGCCATGACCACTCAACAGTGTCTCCAGGGCTTAATGCAGTTGGGGCTGGCAGCAGGATGTTGCTCTGCTGCCCATATCCTGGCTTCAATAACTTCTCTTTGCACATACAGTTGCATAGGAGAGGCAGTAATGTGTGTTAGCATGTCCACAGGGCTCAAGGCTCCTTTTTGGGGGTTTTCATTCAAATGCATAGCACTGTCCATAAACGAACTGACCAGCCCCATAGACTATTTGTGTCTGACTTCAGTCCAGATTTCAACAAACCATTGTACCTCTCGATCATGCCTGCTCCAGTAGGATTATATGATACATGAAACTTCCACTTTATTCCTAATTGCTGCACCCATTCTTGTAACGCATATCCAGTAAAGTAGGTGCCTTGATCACTCTCAATCACCTACATCCAGCCTCAGGCTACAAAGAGATGCTCTAGGCCCCTTTTGGTGGTTTGCTGATCTGCATAATGTGCAGAAAAAGCAACCAACGGTCCAGTATCTGTGTCTACACAAATCATGGCATGCTGATATCCTTCTGATGTGGGCAGAGGCCCAGTATAATCTATCTGCTACCTGACAAGGAATATTGGCCCCTTAGCTATTGTCCCATGTTGCTGTGGGACTTGGTGTAAGTCCCTCTTAGAGCACACAAGGCACTCCTTCTGGGCTCGGCTGACTTCTTCAAAAGCCAGCAGCAAGCCCCACTGGTGGACTACAGCCTATAATGTCTTCTGCCCCATGTGTAACAAAGACTGGTATAACCATTGGGCTACATTAGAGAAAGACTTTCCTTCTAGCCAATGCACCTGGGCCAATGTGTCTGATTTGTCATTCCCTGGGGATGCCAAAGGCAAATGGCCAGTCACATGATTTATGGTAACTGGTCCATGTGTTAAAACATCCAGGAAGAGATGCACAAAAGTCTTGCCACAACTCCTGCCCCAAAGGGACTGGTGAACAACCATCCAATGGCATGGTACTATTATCGGTACCCTCAAGGTCAATCCCTGAAAGACAGCCCAGCTCTCAGGGCAAACAACTATGGGGGTTGGCCTCCTGGGTAATCATGAGCCATACTGCCTGCAAATCAGCCCATTGGCTGCTCTTCCCCATCTCAATCCTCCATCCACATTGTCTCAGTCTTAGGATGGAATGCCACAGCCCTCCAACTTTGGGCACTGACCACAAATGGAGCCATCTATATACCAGCCATCTTCAAGTATAAGGGCTTTTCCCTCCTGATAAGGACTCTCAGCTATCAATGGCTCAGAAGCAAGTTCTTCCTGATTTCTACAGGTATACATCTCTGACTCTAATAAGCATTGGAATTCTTCACTTAAGGGGTTAGTAGAGAGAGTGCTACACTACTGTAAATATGTGCTCCATTTGGTCAGTGTTGGTGTCTGTGCAATGCCACTCAGTGGCCTTTGGGTATAGTCTCACATCCACCCCCCGAAAAGATAGGTGGTTATCACCGTGGTCAGAGCTGTTCTGGTGATGGGCACCATATCCAGCAAGGCATGACTCAGAGTGGCCAGTTCTCTATAAAGGTGTAGCAGACCTCTGCTCCTTTCCTTAGTTGTGACCAGAATCCAATAGGGTGGCAAGTCTGTTCAAGCCACTGCCAAAGACCCCATCCATAACCATCTTCAGTTACATGAACATCTAGCTCACAGGGCCTTGATGAGTCCATTACAATCAAGGCCTGTATGGCCTTGACTTATCACTTAGCAGCAGTAAAAGTAACTTCACATGTCTCATCCCAGTCCCACCTGATGCCCTTTCATACCAACCCATATAAGGGCTTCAGAATTTGTGTGGGATAAACACTCTCCAGTAACCCCAAAAGACCCAGAAACTCTTGTAATACTGCCACAGTGGTAGGGGTAGGGAAAGTTTAATCTGACCAGATAACCCCTAAGAACTTCACAGACAAACCAGGTCCCTGAATGTTGATGCTATTCACAGCCCTTCCTTTCTCCTGTAAGTGTTGCAGCAATCTAGGATCTGCCCCTTCTAAATCTGCAAGAGAATCAGATGTGAGCATGATATCATCAGTGTAGTGATAAAGCTGCACCATTTGTAGTTTTTTCCACATTGCCAAGTCCTGGGCTACAAGTCTGTGAAAAATGGTGGGACAGTGGACGTATCCCTGTGGAAGGACAGTGTATGTCCACTGTTGACTTTCCCACATAAAGGCAAACTGTTCCTGACTTTCCTGTGCTATGTTAACAGGGAAGAAAACATTAACAAGGTCCACAACATAATGATACATCCCCAGTTCATGATTTAGTGTGACCATAAGGACTACTATAGAGGGGACAGCAGCATGCAAACGCATGTGTGACTTTTTCAATTTCCTGTAGTCCATGGTTATACTCCAGGAGCCATCTGGGTTTTTCACTGGCCACACCGGGGAATTAAAAGGACTATGAATGGGCTTTATGAAGCCCACCTTCTCCAACTCCTATAGAGTTCCTCCAATTTCCTTGTGCCCCCAGGCAATTTACACTGCTTAGTATTTGTCACCTGCCAAAGTACTGGTAGAGCTACAGGTAGTTGCTTAGCATGTCCCCTCAGAACTGCCTTTACCACATATACCCTCAGTCTGAGCTCATCTACCTCCCCCAGATCTACTAAAATACAAGTAACCTCAGTTATGGGTTGTCCTATGTGTGGGTCAAGAATAGTCACTAGGGACCCAAAGAAAGATGGGGGAGCTGTTTGGAGCACCAGATTTCTCATCCTTACACTGAATAACTGCTCATCAGTGCTCTGGGGCCCGTGTTATACATGATATTTTTCATGCCAACTCCAGTAACACCTGCTGGACCTCTACATACATTTTCCAGCTAGTGGGTAAGTATGGTTAATCACCCTGATTAGGCCAAACTGCTATGATAGCTGCTGTCAGCCAATCCAGAAGTGTCTGATTCTCTGAGGTATGACAGGGAC